CAGAAACACCACGAGATGGATCCGTAGCTGGCTGACGGCGTACTCGCGAGTGGTCCTCAATGGAACTGCATCTACATGGAGAGAAGTGTGTAGTGGGGTGCCTCAAGGCTTTGTTCTGGGCCCAGTGCTCGTCAACATCTTCATCAACGATTTGGACGAGGGGATAGATGGGGAACTCATCAAATTTGCAGATGACACCAAGCTGGCAGGAATAGCAAACACTCCAGAAGACAGGCTTCAGATACAGAAGGATCTGGACAGACTTGAACACTGGGCACTAACTAACAAAATGAAATTCAATGGTGAAAAAAGCAAGGTTCTACATTTAGGCAAGAAAAACCAAATGCACAAGTACAGCATAGGTGGCACCATGCTCAATAGTAGTAACTGTGAGAGGGTCCTCGGAATCCTAGTAGACAATCACCTAAATATGAGCCAGCAGTGTGCTGCAGCTGCCAAAAAGGCCAACACAGTGCTAGGCTGCATTAACAGAGGGATCGAATCAAGATCACGTGACGTATTAATACCACTCTTCAAGCCTTGGTAAGGCCACACTTGGAATACTGCATCCAGTTTTGGTCACCACGATGTAAAAAAGATGATTGAGGACTCTAGAAAGAGTACAGAGAAGAGCAACAAAGATGATTAGGGGACGGAAGGGCTAAGCATATAAGGAACAGCTGCTAGAATTGGGTATGCCTAGTTTAATGAAGAGAAGGACCAAGGGGGACATGATAGCAGTGTTCCAATATCTCAGGGGCTGCCACAAAGAAGAGGGAGTAAAGCTATTTTCCAAAGCGCCTGAAGGCAGGACAAGAAGCAACAGATGGAAACTAATCAAGGAGAGAAGCAACCTAGAACTAAGGAGAAACTTCCTGACAGTTAGAACAATTAACCAGTGGAACAACCTGCCTCCAGAAGCGGTGAATGCTCCAACACTGAAAGTTTTTAAGAACGAGACTGGACAGCTATTTGTCTGAAGTGGTGTAGGGTTTCCTGCACGCGCGGGGGTTGGACTAGGAACTCCAAGGTCCCTTCCAACTTACTATTAATTATTATTATTATTATTATTATATTATTATTATTATTATAATTAATTTATAATTCTGCCTTAGGCATGAAAGCCAGCGGGGTTGTTTTAGGACAGTCATCTCTCTCAGCCCACACCCACCGAACATGTTGTGATTGTGGGGAAAACATGAGAAGAAGCGAGTATTTAGGTATGTTTACCATCTTGAATTACTTATAAAGTAATAAAGGTGGGATAAAAAAAATCAAATAAATGTATAGAGCAACAGTAATATATGAAGATGCTGGAAGTGGAAGATCCCTTTAGTCATATTGACAAAAGGATCCTTTCATCCTGTGCAGAAGGAAACAATGGTAAACCACTTCTGTGTTTTATGAAGGAAACCACAAGGATAGATAAAATAAAGTGATTGACAGTATAGTACCGAATGACAGTCCTTCAGGTCACATGATACCCAACATATCAATAGCACTTATATACCACTTCACGGTGCTTTACAGCTCTCTCTAAGCGGTTTACAGAGTCAGCATTATTGCCCCCCAACAATCTGGGTCCTCATTTTACCGACCTCAGAAGGATGGAAGGCTGAGTCAACCTTGAGCCAGTCAGGATCGAACTCCTGGCAGTCGGCAGAGTTAGCCTGCAATACTGCATTCTAACCACTGCGCTACCATGGCTCCTTACTCTAACTTACTTAACTGCAGCAATTTGCTTAACAGCTGTTTCAAAAAAAGATGGGGAAAAACTGACTGAACACCTGCGGTGGAAATTTTGGGGTCCTTTATCCAGGACTTCCTCTAAACCAATATAGCTTGTTTATGCTGTAAAGCAGTGTGGGTTGGTATATAAGCCTAATTGCTATCACTGTGGCTTCCTCCAAGTCAGAACAAAGCTTATTACAGACTTGCAACTCCCGTTCTAGGTTAGCTTCATCCACTTGCTATCTCATAAACTTCTTTATAAGCTATATTTTTTATATACTGTATATATAAAAATGTCACAGATAATTAGAGCTTCCAGCACTACTTTGAAGATTCCTTGAGGAATTTGTTTTCCCCTCCTTAAAACCCTTTGATTGCACCAAAATATCTGGTTAAAAATACTTGATTCAGTCGTTGCACTGACCTCTCGCTGGGTATGTCAACTTACCTGGAAATCCAACGGAAACGTTACTCTAGTGAATATGCCTTTTTCTTTTTTTCTTTGAGTGGAAAGAAAAAAAATAAAACCCAGAAAGTTCATCCAGAACTGGCTGTTGCAACTACAGATAGTCCTCAATTTACAACAGTTCAGTTAGGGACGGTTCAAAGTTACAATGACACCGAAAAAAGTCATTTTTGACCCTTTCCCCCAGTTACGACCTTTGTAGTATTCCCACGATCAGACGATCGTAATTCAGACGCTCGAAAACCGGTTCATACTTATGACCGTTGCTGTGTCCCAAGGTCACGTGATTGTCTTTTGCAGGCCTTTGGAGAAGCAAAGTCAATGGGGAAGCCAAATTCACTTAACAGGCATGTTACTATAAGTATGTTCACCTGCAGTGCCCCACTCATTTTTGCATGGTTTTTATTATAATTTGGTTCAAATGAAATTGAGATGAAGAGATTTCATGGCTGGGAACATTTACTAAATTGAACTCAGCCAGCGTTTGAATTAATCCGAAGTAGGGTATCCCTCCTTCGGTTGGCTTCGGTCCTCAGGATAATAATCGGAAACGGAGCTATAGAGATCAAGCTGGCAGATGAAACATATTGATTGAAACGTTTGGAAACATGCCTGTCTCACGATTTTTCCTCCTTTCTTGCTCGTCCCCAGCCTCAACTTTTCCATAAATTCAGATAGATAAACAAAGGAGAGGACAAAGATCTTCCTTCCCTTCCCTTTTCCCTTCCCCTTCTCCTTTTATGGAAGAATATGTATTCCTTTTTCTTTCTTTCTTTCTTTCTTTCTTTCTTTCTTTCTTTCTTTCTTTCTTTCTTTCTTTCTTTCTTTCTTTCTTTCTTTTTTCTCTTTGTTTTTCTTCCTACCTGTCAGCCTTGCTTCTCTCTCTTCTCCCTCCCTCCCTCCTTCCCTCCCTTCTTTCTTTCTTTCTTTCTTTCCTTCCTTCCTTCCTTCCTTCCTTCCTTCTTCCTTTCTTTCCTTTCCGCTTTCTTTCTTTCTTTCTTTCTTTCTTTCTTTCTTTCTTTTTTCTCTTTGTTTTTCTTCCTACCTGTCAGCCTTGCTTCTCTCTCTTCTCCCTCCCTCGTTTCTTTCTTTCTTTCTTTCTTTCTTTCTTTCTTTCTTTCTTTCTTTCTTTCTTTCTTTCTTTCTTTCTTTCTTTCCTTCCTTCCTTCCTTCCTTCCTTCCTTCTTCCTTTCTTTCCTTTCCTCCTTCTTTCTTTCTTTCCTTCTTTCTCTCCTTCTTTCCTCTTTCTTTTTCATCTCTTCTTTCTTCTTCTTCTCCTCCTCCTTTTTTGGAAGAATATGTATTCACCAAAGTCAACCCTGCTTAGCAATTTAAAAAGAGAAAGAGGCAGATGGTGTGTAAAAATGGGGCAGCAGGCAACCAACCTTGTTCATTGCCGTGCGCGATCTGGTGCACTTTAATAGCAAGGAAGTTTGTGGCTGACTCATCCACAGTCTCCCGAGGGCAAACCTGAACATTTTGCTAAGGTCTAGGATGATCTGCAGAGCCACAGAGCTAATCTCTGTGTGCAGACCTGTTCTTTTTTTCTCCTGAGAAGTGCTACTTTTAGTGCAGATGAGACAGATGGCTTTTCATCTGTAGTGTCAGAAAAATCCAGACTGGGCTACCTGTAGGATCAAGGGTCCTCTTTGTCAATGGCTCTTTAAAGGGTTATCAGATGAAGCAATAGATCCCCTGCCTCCTCCTAGAAACAGGGGTACAACTTTCTAAAGTCCCTCCCCCAATTGCCTTTGCAATATTTACACTAGTGTTTCTCAACCTTAGTAACCTTAAGATGTCTGGACTTCAACTCCCAGAATTCCCCAGCAAGCATGCTGGGAGTTAAAGTCCAGACATCTTAAAGTTGCCAGGGTTCAGGTGGTACCTGGTTCAATAGTAGTAACTGCAAGAGGGATCTAAGAATTATCATGGAGAACCATTTAAATATGAGCCAGCCGTGTGCTGCACCTCCCAAAAAAACCAATGCAGTTCTAGGCTGCATTAACAGAGGGATAGAAACAAGATCACATGAAGTGTTAATACCACTTTACAATACCTTGGTAAAGCCACACTTGGAATACTGCATCCAGTTTTGGTCAACACAATGTAAAACAGATGTTGAGACTCTTGAAAGAATATAGAGAAGAGCAACAAAGATGATTAGGGGACTGGAGGCTTAAACATATGAAGAACAGTTGCAGAAATTGGGTATGTCTAGTTTAATGAAAAGAAGGGATGACATGATAGCAGTGTTCCAAAGTCTAAGGGGCTGCCACAAGGAAAATGGTGTCAACCTATTCTCCAAAGCACCTGAAGGCAGGACAAGAAGCAACAGATGGAAACTAATCAAGGGGAGATCCAACCTAGAAATAAGGAGAAATTTCCTGACAGTGAGAACAATCAACCAGTGGAACAGCTTGCTTCCAGAAGTTGTGGGTGCTCCAAACACTGGAGGTTTTTCAAGAAGAGATTGGACAATGATTGCCTGAAATGGCTTAGGATTTCCTGCTTGAGCAAGGGGTTGGACTAGAAGATCTCCAAGGTCCCTTTCAACTATGTATCTGTTATTGTGGTTGAGAAACACTGGAATTTTCAGGTAGAATGTCAGGAAACAAGGAATCAAGGAAGGAGCATTGGATTCAGAGATGATTCCTTGAAATAGGAATGTCCCTACTCATGAGGCTATCATTAGTTATCCTACTGATAGCACCTTGGAGTTGAGCAAGCATAGAAAATCTATTCCTTCCATTGCACGCTGGCTGGAGAATTCTGGGAGTTGAAGTCCACACGTCTTAAAGTTACTGTGGTTAGGAACCACTGGTTTACATGATCAATATGTTCTACTTTTCACAGGTTTTGACATGATGGAGGCATTTGGACTGATGGACAAGGAATATGCCTCCATTAAGGGGATTGCTATGGAACCTTACATCTTCTTGGGAACTCACACCTACACCCTCTACAGAGATATCCAGCTAACCCGGAAAACAAGGTAGCAAGAGAAAATAATTAAGGAAGCTTGACTGTAAATCAGTGGTTCTCAACCTTTTTAATGCCGCGACCCCCAACCGGTCATAAGTCAAGGACTACTCAACCGGTTGTAAGTCGAGGACTATCAACTGGTGCAGCACTGTTTGCAGAATGGGACTTTTGGCGGGCTCAGCAGGGCAGAGACAGCCTGGACAATTCCTATTGGCTTTTGAAAGCCAATAGAATTAGATTCTATTCAAGAGAGTCTATTCTATTGGCTTTCAAAAGCCAATAGAATAAAAAGGAGTAGCACAGCTAAGGAAAAGGGGGAAAAAATGGCAGACTGCGTTGTTTGGCGACCCCTGTGAAATGGTTGTTCGACCCCAAATGGGGTCCCGACCCATCTGGTTGAGAACCACTGCTGTAAATGGATTACCTTTCCATAGGCATTCTGTTATGTGCTTGCACTATGACGTGTTCTTATCAGATTAATCCATTGAGATGGGCGGTTGACAGAATTCACAGAATCCTATATTAACCCACCAGGCTACAGTATATTAACCCAACTTGAGGACATCAAAAGACTAAGCAAAACACAGCAGGAAACAAGACTTTCAGAAGAGAATATTTATAGCTCAGGGTTGTACTGTGGGGTTCTTGGTGCTCTCTAATAATAATAATAATAAAGTTGGAAGGGACCTTGGAGGTCATCTAGTCCAACCCCCTGCTCAGGCAGGAAACCCTATACCATTTCGGACAAATGGCTGTCCAATCTCTTCTTAAAAACTTCCAGTGTTGGAGCATTCACCGCTTCTGGAGGCAGGTTGTTCCACTGGTAAATTGTTCTAACTGTCAGGAAATTTCTCCTTAGTTCTAGCTTGTTTCTCTCCTTGATTAGTTTCCACTCATTGCTTCTTGTCCTGCCTTCAGGCGCTTTGGAAAATAGCTTGACTCTCTCTTCTTTGTGGCAGCCCCTGAGATATTGGAACACAGCTATCATGCCCCCCCCCTCGTCCTTCTCTTCGTTAAACTAGACATACCCAATTCCAGCAACCGTTCCTTATATGTTTTAGCCTCCAGTCCCCTAATCATCTTTGTTGCTCTTCTCTGTACTCTTTCTAGAGTCTCAACATCTTTTTTGCATCGTGGTGACCCAAACTGGATGCAGTATTCCAAGTGTGGCCTTACCAAGGCCTTGTAAAGTGGTATTAACACTTCACGTGATCTTGATTCTATCCCTCTGTTAATGCAGCCTAGCACTGTGTTGGCCTTTTTGGCAGCTGCAGCACAGCTGAGCTTGATTGTTTTCTTGCAGACATTTCATTACCATACTAGGTAACATAATCAATGTTTCATTTGGTAATGAAAGCTCTGCAAGAAAACAACCCAGCTCCGAGAGCACCAAGGTGCCCCCAAACAGGGGGCAATGGGACTCATTTGGATAGCTCCAAATGAGTCCCATTGCTTGACAGTTTCTCTACTGTATTAAGACAGTAGAAGGGTGTTGTCTCACAAATACTTCAATATTCCCCTACATCAGTGATGGTGAACCTTTTAGAGACCGAGTGCCCAAAAACTGGCCCCGCCCCCACTCCCCCCTGCCCCGCCCTCCCATCCCCCACCTCGCCTGCCTGCAGGACCACTCACCGCCTCCAGGGCCCGCTGCAGATCACCCAGGCAGCCCAGCAGTGCTATGGCGGCCACACCCTCTGCCCGCGCCCTGCAGCATCAACTGTGCATGATGGGGTGTGAGGGCAGAGTCTTGTCTACGCTGTCTGGCTACCATGTCCTTGGCTGCACTGCTCCATGTGGGCCATGCTCGGGGGCGACTCTCCTTCAGGGGGGCTGCTGGAGAGGAGGGGGTCACGGGAGGAGGCGAGGCTGGGGCAACGGCACATGTGCCCAAAGAGAGGGCTCCGAGTGCTACCTCTAGCACCCGTGCCATAGGTTCACCACCACTGCCCTACATGCTTATTAAATTCTCTAAAATGATTAAAAAAAAAAATCTAGAGCTCTGAGGCCTGCCAATATGCTTTCTTACTTCTCATACAGTTTGCAACTTTCCCTTAGGATGGAAAAGGAAATTAAAAATCCAATCAGCATTTTTAGAGATGTTCAGATTAAAGGAACTGCGGGCATTTAGTATGTATATTCATGATCTCTGTTCATTGTGCCATCAAGGACTAGCAGCACCAGCAAAAGGGACAAAAGCAGCGTTGCAAACCTCACCCGTTTTCTATATGCGTGTCTGTGGGTCACAATACTGCAGGCATGATTCAAAGTGGTGAAGATTGAAGCCCAATGCGCAATATTAATTTTGCTGTTTTGATGGAACGCCTTCTAGATGTCATGGTTAAGCTTTCAAACAGAGATAATTCCAGCATTGTACAATTCCAAAATTTTGGAATTGTATAATTTTCTAAAGACACACTTAAAGACACACTTAAAGACTTTGCTTTTTAGAAGCTGCAGTTCAGCAATAGTTCAATGGATGGGTGGATGGAGACAGACAAGTAGACAGACAGACAGACTGACAGGCAGACAGACAGATAGATTCATAGATACATAGATACATAGATGGATGGATGGATGGATGGATGGATAGAGGAAGGATAGATGGATAGATGGATGGATGGATGGATAGATGGAGATAGACAGACAGACAGACAGACAGACAGACAGATACATAGATACAGATGGATGGATGGATGGATAGATGGATGGATGGATGGATAATGATGGATAGATGGATGGATGGATGGATGGAGATAGACAGACAGACAGACACATAGATACATAGATGGATGGATAGATTGATGGATGGATGGATAGATGATGGATAGATAGATGGATGAATGAATGGATGGATGGATGGATAGATGGATGGATGGATGGATAAAAAAGAAGAGCAACAAAGATTATCAGGGTTTAAAGGCTAAACCATATGATGAATGATTGAGGGAATTAGATAGGTCTAGTCTAACAAACAAGGTCCAGGGATGATATGATAGTCTTTGTACTTGAGGGGCTCTCACAGACAAATGGAAGTCAGCCTATTCTCCATGGCTCCTTAGAGCAGGATGAGAAGCAAAGGATGGAGACCAGGAACCAAGGAGAAATTTCCTGACAGTGAGAACAATTAATCAGTAGAATAGCTTATCTGGGGAAGTTGTGGGAGCTCCATCACTGGAGGTTTTCAAACAGAGACTGGACAGCCACTTATCTGGAACGATTAATGTCTCATGTGATCCATGATGCAGGCCAGAACACCAACAAAAACAACAAAAAATGATACCATTGAAAAAGCAACAAACAAACAAACAAATGCAGCCCAGGGTTATAAGCAAATTGCATAACCTACTCTGGAGCATAATAATATAATGCACAAAATACATTCATGTAAAGAGAGGGGTGGGGCTTCAATCACCCAATTGCAGCCATGCATCCTTCCCTCCCTCCATTCATTTTCATAATCCATCTATCCATCTTCATCATCCATCCATCCATCTTCATCATCCATCCACCCTTCATCATCCCTCCCTCCCTCCCTAGCTCTATCCATCCATTCATCCCTTCATCCATCCTTCCATCCATCCATCCATCCACCATCATCCCTCCCTCCCTCCCTAGCTCTATCCATCCATTCATCCCTTCATCCATCCATCCATCCACCCTTCATCATCCCTCCCTCCCTCCCTAGCTCTATCCATCCATTCATCCCTCCATCCATCCAACCTTCATCGTCCCTCCCTCTCTCCCTAGCTCTATCCATCCATTCATCCCTCTCTCCATCCATCCATCCATCCACCCTTCATCATCCCTCCCTCCCTCCCTAGCTGTATCCATCTATTCATCCCTCCATCCATCCATCCATCCATCCATCCATCCATCCATCCACCCTTTATCATCCCTCCCTAGTTCTATCCATCCCTTCATCCCTCCCTCCCTCCCTCCATCCATCCTTCATACTGCACTTTAATTATAAATCTTTATAATCCACATGTTTTTCTAATTCCAATTCTAAACATTCTACTGCTTAATTACAAGTCTCTCTAATGCACATGCTCTCTTCACGTTGCATAGCAGGTAGGTAGATTTCCAGTAATTGGGAATATGACTTAGTATGTTGGTGAGTTCCTCAGTCCTCTTTGCAATCCGAGCTTCATAATAATTCAGCATACATGCCATTTGATTCTGTTATAGCTAACAACTTAGCAAATTGAAACAGACTGGCTTATTGCAAAGCAATTGTAACTTCCTTTTTAAGTTTAATTGCTGAAAAGTAAGGATAATTGTAATCTTGTTGAAAGAAGCTAAGCCTTTTCATAGTGAATTGTGAGATTCCCCCGGGGTGCCCTTCGTTAAAATGCTCAGATTAGTTTCTTCTTACATCCGGAACTTGTGGAAGTTTAAAACAAACAAATAGGAAAGCCTCCCTAGCTGAATTTTAAGGACATTTGAATGTTGTTCCAAAGAGGAAAAAAAAAAAAATCCTGAATATCATTTCTTTAGTTTGTGATTATCTGGTCATTAAAAAGGAGCAATCAACATGGACCAAAGCAAAAATATGTGGGTTTCTTTGACTAATCAAAAACTAACCGGCCTTCTCAAGCTGTTATCCTTCAGAAAAAAAATGGGTTAGGAATTATGGGTATTATAATCCAATGGTTCAGGAGAAAGCTGGATTAATAATAATAATAATAATAATAATAATAATAATAATAATAATAATAATAATAATAATAATGAGGCACTACCTTGACGTGGTTGTGGGGCTTGTGTACTCTGAGGAAGATGAGAGCTATGCTAGAGGTTCAACCATACTGGACAGGTCTCATCAGAGGAGTCAGACAAAGAGTGTCTCTCCCATAAAAAATATGGTGAGACGTAAATTTCAGAATGCCATACCGGCTCGGACGTCGCCCGGGTTAACAAGGTCCGCACTAGATATTGGAGTTCCTGGATATCTGGTGAAAAATGGGTTACAGGACTCAGGACTGTTGGCTGAGCAACCAGGGCCAG